TTCGACATTTCCGGCGGGAAAAGAGAAAGAGGGGAGGGGGGGGAGAATCGATTCGAAACAGGCTGAAATATTCGCCATGAATGAAGAGTCTCTCATGATTTCCGTCCCTTCTGAAGTTCGTCGCATTTTTGAATGACTAATCCAGGAACCGCTCTCCGCGGGACACGCTCTCGATAGTCCTGCCTAGCCGAAGAAGGGCACACCCGCTCAATAAAGTAAGTAGAAGGCTATAGAAAATGGTGGCGCGGCGGAAGGGAAGTCTATTCTGCGCGGGCGAGGGAGCGAAGAGGGACTCGTCGAGGAGCAGGTAAAGGCCCTTGTTCGCCATTGTGCCCCCGGTGGAGCTGACGCCGACGACAGATACCTTTCCTAGCGCACGTACGAATGTGTACACGGCCACGACTACAGGCAACGTCCTCCGTTGCCTTCCACACGCGGGACTTCAAACTCGAGCCCTTTTATATCGGCCAAACGTGCGGGAAACCGGCTCTCATTTTCTTCCACCGAAGTCCACTAGATAACTGATGGCGTGAGAGACGGCAGCAACCAATGACGTCTCATTTCATTGTTATTTCTTCTTACTTTGAGTCTATGTGCATCGCACGTTTACCTGCGTATTTTGTTACATACGAGAAGAAGTTTTTCTTAAAATGGTTTATCCCGAAAATCATGCAACTCGTTGAACAACGCGGCATTTCCAAGAATCTTATGAGAGTTTTTGGAATTTTTACTGTACATTTTACTGATAGAATGTATGGGAAATTTTGAAAAAACTCTCATACAGTCCTTCAAAGTGCCATGTTGTTCCACGATCGCATGATTTTCAGGATAAATTTTAAGCGAAAGTTCTCTCCGTGCATATTACGGCGAAGATACTTTGAAAATCGACGTTTACGAAAGAAATCTGGATATATTTTATAAATTTTATAGCGTGCTTACAGTCGCCTGCTGTAAATTTAACGATAGATAATTAACGCTCTTCGTACGTTGCCGAGCGAGACGGCATCTCAATTTTACGGGACGGGAATATATCGCTGGATTTTTCGGAGGAAAAAATAGAACGCGCGATTTGGTAGGAAAGATCGAGACCCCTCTCGGCATCGCGGCTCTTATCTCCCTTTATCTGCCGGCCGGCTAGTATCAATGCTCGACATTGTCCAAAGGAAATTTAATCAATGGAGGTCTGTCCTCATTACGGGGTTTGCGCGTGCCAGAAGCGGAGCGAGATTGCTGATTATTAATTTTTTTCCTTCTTTCTCTTGTATCTTCTCTGGAAAAAACCAAAGAGGCGCGAGTGACCTTTGAACCAAGGCTCGGACGAAAGACTGACGATCCAACTACCTGTCGATTACACGGAGTAGTTTCATTTTTTTAGACCGTGTAGCTGCAGAACGGAAATCTATTTTCGTGGCCGAATGTTCGAAGACTCGACCGTAAGAGCTTTCGGCCCAGAAGAACTCGAGACAAACTTTGAACTCGCGGTAAGGAGTCGAAGACGAAAGCAATCGCGCCTTCGTTTGGTCCCGTCTCCCGCGATATAATCGGAACAATCAACTTTGCCATTTTGCTTTAACCCTTTGAAGCATGGCGGTAACCCACGTTACCACCTCAACTTCTTTACTTTTTGGCCATTTAATTTCTAGTTAATGCATTTGGCTCAGGTCTTTTGCATTTTTTGGGTATCGTAGCAATAAAAGAACAGAAAAAAAGAGTTTTATAAATAAACAAATATAATTATTTCGGAAAAATTCATTACTGACCAAGTTTCTTAAGATTAGTTCTTTGTACAAAGGGGTTTTCGGGGTCTACGAATCTAATGTCAGAAATTCAAAATTAAAATGGCTGATGCAAAGTACGTGAATTTTTTCAAGTTCTTCAACATTTTCGTTTGACTACGTTTGATTATTTAGGGACTCATCGCGTCCGCGTCGTTAGCTCTGGGTATAGTGTCAAGAATGAGAAATTCTAAGAAATGATCAAATTTCAATTTTGCATCCGCCGTTTCGCGCGCGCTATTTTTTATATTCTATAAGAATCTTCAACATTAGATTCCACGGGTCCTAAATAATATCTAAATAATATTTTTTAGCACAGCTGAATTACAGCTGAACGATGTTATTCTTTTAAGTTTTGAATTCCGCCACCTTGAATCCTTGTGAATTATGAAAATCCGATAACGGATTCGTAATCGGCGGCCCCGAAAACCCTTGTATACAAAGTTTCACGAAAAATGGTTCGATGGTTCAATAGAAAAATGCGTGCTTCAAGGGGTTAATCCAAGTTCGATTGTTGCACCTCGCGACAATAACTTTTGTACTCGCGCATCTGCGACTTCCAGCCGCGCACTTCTCTCTCGCGCCGAACGCGAGAAACGCGGAAAGTGAGCAGAAAGGGTTAATTCGGAATTGTCCTCGCGCGGCACGTGCTCGCGGAGCTATTGAGCCTCGTCTCCCTCCTCGGCCTCCCCGCGCAAATGAGACGAGAGGTCAACGGTTTAACTTCGTTCGCACAATTGGTCCGGATTAACGTCGTAATAAATCTCAATTAGGGTCGCTCCTACGCCGCACTCGACCGCCCTGGGGGAGACGCTCGCAGATTTTCCCCCAGGCGCGTTGGTCCACCGGGGGCTTCGTTTCGTTTCGGACGCCGCGGGGGTACGGCGTTCATTGAGAAGTAATCACCGAGTCGCGTGCACCGCGTTTGCGTACAGTTTATTTATGCGTTTACGTATAAGCCAAATTATCTCGCCGTAACATAAATCTCGGGCCCCCTCCAGCAAATATCGTTTCTCCTCGGTAGATAAACAGATAGCTAGATAAATGGAGCCACGCGCTTCAGTTTGATAACGTAAATCATCGACGCTTCGTGATATCCTACTCTTTTTATCTAACCGTGTCACATTTTTTTAGAATTACTTCTCGACCACGTAGAGAGATCAGCGATTCGATCAAACTACACGGAGAGAGTTTTCTTCTGCAATTTGTCCTGCAAATCATGTAATTGTGGAACGGCATTTCCAACAATTTTACGACTTTTTACAAATGTTACCATACATTTACTAGTAAAATGCATGGTAAAATTTCACAAAACTCTCATAAGATTCTTTGAACTACCGTGTTGCTCCAACAATTACATGATTTTCAGGATAAATTTGAAGAGAACATTTTTCTCCCAAATGCTATGTTGTCCCACGATTACACGATTTTCAGGGTAAATTTTAGGAGACAATTCTCTCCGTCTCTTTGCTCCTCGAACTTTTCCAGGATCAATTTTCTATCTGTGGTTCGGCGATTAGTAAACTCCAGACGGAGCGTTTTGGTGGCGAACCAATAGAAAAAGTCTCTCTTAATTTGTTTCTCTCTATTGACCACCGAAACCTATTTGCACATGTCACAGTACTATCGCGCGTACGCCACTTGAGAGTCTCTCCAAGTCTATCGAGACATAAAGCGGACGGGCGCTCGATGTTCGAACCGAAATTAACTCTGTGACCTCAGGCCACGGATTTGTTCCTCTCCACCCTCTTCCCGTTTCAGTGGAAACGCTCGAAGGTAGCAGGTGGCCGACGATATTTCTCACGCGGGATTATTTCGCGCCCGCGACTGGATTCTGTAACTTCGATTTTGCAACATGCCTGCGTAACGACAATTATCGACAGCGACAATCAATCGCGTCGCAGAATCCAGCTGGTCTGCTTTTCTGTAGCTCTTAATGACAGCGTCGCTACGTTGCCGTTGCGTAAATATATGGTAAAAAAGCTGCGTTAAGAGGTACAGAAATAGCAGGCCTGTCCTGACAGCTTTCAGTCGCGCGATGAACAAGATGACCTCGACCAAACTCCGATTAATCGAACCGGCGGTATCGCTCGCCGCAAAATTGCTAACAATTCGTACAATTGTCGTCCTGATCCAACCCTTCTTTCCACCAAACGGCAAAAGCGGATCGACGCTTTTATCCGCGTTAACCGAAATAGTATGCTATTCCGTGGGCCTGGGTAGACCTCTGTAAATCTGGCACCCGACTTTTCGACAACAATTTTTTTTAATACAGGAAACGGTAGCCTTTCGTTTGTAGTTGATTGTAGCGAAAGAAATTTTGTTCGTAGAGTTTCACGGTTTACAAGATATAAAAGTTTAAGAAATGGGTAGCCCAGGGCCTCGATCATGAATCTTTTCCTCTAGCGTCAACTCGCGAAAAGCGAAAATGTTCATTGAAGAATTCAATATTCGTCAATGAAATTTTTCGCTTTTCACGAGTTGAGCTAGAGGAAAAGATTCGCGTTCGAGCCCCGGGAAAAGCAAAGTCGTCCGGCAAACGGAAAGTCCGAGGATTATTTTTCTCGCCAAGAAGCGGCGCGTCTTGCAATCAGTGTCTGCCCGATACACTCCTATTTATTAAACTTCAATGATAACCCGACCATGTCCTGGCACTTTCAATGTTCAAAACTCACAAACGTTTCGACCATGGTTCGTGGTTCTTTTCAAGTGATACCGTATCGAATGTCCAGTGTAATAAATTAAAGGACCAGAGCTCAGGCGTGAGTCTAATCTACAATGTGCTCTCTGTATCTAGAAACATTCTATTTTGTAGCCACTAAATACATTTAAAAAGTTTGCGCAAGTGAATGAATTGTATATTATATACTGTACAATCGTACATTGTCGACAAATGTTTTAATTCGACTTGTTTATATAAAATAGAATGTTTCTAGATGCAGAGAGCACATTGTAGATTAGGCTTTAGGTTCACGAGAGGCAGAACACGTGAGTTTCGAGCATAAAAATTGCCAGGCATGGTCAAGCTGCCATCGGAGCCTTTTAATTACTACTGGCGACATTGAAGATCACTCCTTGTTTACGAAATGTGCCCGCCCGGCGAGTCTCGCACGTTTCACCGCGTGCGTCGCAAATCCGCAGACTTCTCATTACCGGGAGAGCGTCACGTACTGATAAAAGAAAAAAAAAACTAAAGGAATACTGCGCGAGGGCTCGCGGACTCACCGATGGCGTAGATGCCGCCGATGATCCAGACGAGGCAGACACCGGCGAGAAGGCCGCGCGTCCTCGCGGAGGCCGCCGCCGGCCGCTGCTTCATCCTCTCGCCTCGCCGTTGCGCGACGTTGACCTCACTCACTTGCTCCCCCTCTTCTCCTCCTCCTCCTCCGCCTCCTCCTCGTCTTCGCTCGCCCGCTTCCTCTCCACCGTCGTAGGCCCGGGCTCCTCGCTCGCGGCCGCCGCGCGTCAAGCGACTCCGCGGAAGCGCGCGGCGTCTACGCCAATCGCGGCGATCCGCGCCGCGTCCCCGTCTCACGCACACTCGCGGCTCGCATTCCGCGATGATCGCCGCGACGATTCCTTCCCCTCCGGCCCCCTCGATCGCGCTCGAAGGAGGCGCGAGACGCGGCCGGACTCCGCGCGTCCTTCTTGCCACGCGAGGTCCACGGGGCGAGCGGGGTGGGAGGGGGGGATGGGATAAACGGTTAGCGCGCGGTGCCCCGCGGAGGGAAAGGCAGAGGCGAAGCGGCAAGAAGGGACAGGCGAACGCGCCCCGTAACGAGACGAAGATCGCGCCTGCACTCCGCTCGGACGGACGTCTGTTGACTTGTTCGCGCTTCTCTTCAAAAATGATCTCTGCCCTCTTCACTCTCTCGCTCTTCTCTCTTCGGTGCTTCTCGCGCGCGCGCGCGCGAGAGAGAGAGAATCCGCAGGAACTGACAGTGGGAGGGACCAGTATCGATCGAGATCGATCGTCCTTCCCGTCTGGCCCTCGGCGACCGTCACCGTTCAACCGACGGTTACGCGGACTCGGCCGAGATCACCGCGACGCGTGCAGTTTTCACTCTCGCGTCTCTCGTCCCCGACTCCCAACTCGCGCACGGCACACGCGACGCGTGACGATTCCCCGACGCCCGCGGTACCGTGAGACCCGCGCGACGGCGAGACCCGTTTGCCGTCGCCGAAGCGCGGTCCGCCTCCCTGCGGGTGGGAAGGTGACGCGAGGGCGACGCGAACGCTCGCGCACGGCTCACCTGGTAACACCTGGCAACACCTGGGCGAAGGTGCTCACAACACCGTTAATACCCGCTCGCGGACAACTCGGCGGGGGAGAAGCGTATCGGGACGGACAGGCGTAGCGGGAAAAGTGCGATCGGCGCGTCTCTCTCGTCCGCCGCGCGACGACAGTTGCGCAAAGTTGCGCCCCGACTCGAAGGTGCCGTCCGAGTTCCGTGCAGCCAACCGCGATCGCGCCGCGTCGTTCGGCGAACGCGTACGAACGACGGGCGAAGAGCGTCAACTTGAAACCGCGTGCACGCGCATGCCCGTCGCGGACGCTACTGGCCGGCCAATCGCCGCGGAGCGTTCGCTGTCGCGCGCTCGCGTCACCGCCCGGCCGGCGTTCGGCGACGCATCGGCGAGCGGCCGCTGTTGCACCGCTCGGCGCGGCGGCGGCCAATCGGGCGTCGCGGTAGCTAGGGAATTTTCGCGGCCCTCCTCGGTCGAAAGTAAGAACAGACTTACTGGTTTCTCTGATGAACCGTGCGGCGGTGTGCCACTTGTTGAATGCCGAACGAAAGAAGAGAACCGCGATCGCAACGGTTTGCGGAAAGGAAGATTTTTGTGAAAAAGTTTTGGAATGTATCCAACTTTTTCGATTAGATACCTACATGATTACCGCGCGAAAGATTTTCCGCAAGAGATCTTCGCGAGAATAAAATTTTAGAAAATTTTAAATTACTTCTCGTTCTCTAATTATATTATTTCGAAATTATAGAATTATGAAATTAACGACTCAATAAACCGGGGAAGAGATTAATTTTACACAGAATGAAAAGTAACACTTACCGTAAAGTTGCTCCGCCGGCGCATGATGCCTCATCCAGGCCACCTCCTCCACTCAGATTGTCCTTTGGCACACTCGCGAAAACACACAGATCGTTCGCGCGATTTTAAGGCTCGTCTACACGACAAGGCATAAGGCGCGGCGCAAGAGCGCAGGCACAGGCGCAAGAGGATTTTTCCCGATCTTAAGCCCAATGTCCACGATCCAAGAACTGTGTCAAAGTTCTAGTTTCGAAAAATGCGCAGCCAATCAACATGCAGCTTGTATGGAATAGCCGCAAGCTGATTGGCTACGCATTTCTTGAAACTAGAACTTGGACACAGTTCTTGGATCGTGGACATTGGCCTTTAGGGTCGTGGCGCAGCGGCGCAAGCGAAATAAACTAATTTTATTTCCAACGCCTACGCCTGAGCTCTTGCGCCGTGCCTTACGCCTTGTCGGTGTAGACGAGGCTTTACACTCCCGTTTGGCAAAGCCCATGTGAAAGTATAACATTTTGTTCCGTCAAGTTCGCCTCCACTTCGAGTCGGCGAGTATTGTATCCCGAAAACTGCCAAATCTCGAAGTGTGGCCGTCGACAGGAACGGACATTTAACAAATACTTGCTCCTCAAATGGGCTTTGAAAAGTCTTCGGTTCGATTATTTAAACGGCACTCCCGAGCGCGACGAAAACAGAAACTTTATGTTACACGCGCACTTTTGTACGGATCGCGACAATTGCTTCAATGCGATTGACAAATATGTTACTATCTTTCGTACGAGACGATCGAGATTCTCGTGGGGAATGATCGCCGCGCGTTACGACGAGCGACGCGAAGACACGCGCGAAACACCCGCCTCGCTCGACTGAACCGCTAACTGATAGACTGTTTTCGACTAGTGACAATGAGGCGTGTTTTTACGGCGCTACGTCATTTCGTGGAACCGGCGCTCGGCTTTCGACCGAGTTGTTTACGGCGCTCGGCGAAACAAGGTCACGCCGTACGCAGGAATCATTCACGTGATTCACGCGGCGACAATCGAACGAGTCTGTTGTGCCCGCGCCGTTCCGCATATCGTATCATTCTTTCTTGATACGCGTTCGCGAAAAGTACGGGAGGATAATCGCGATCGCTCTCAGCGAATAATCGGCGATCGATGTCATCGCGTAATAAGTCCGCAGAATGATACGCAAAACGTAGTAACAGTCACTGAACAAAGTAATTAGAAATATTAGGTATAGCATTTTCAATTTCGTACACGGAAAGAACAATGTAGCTGCTGTAGCTAAAACTTAGCAAAATAGGGACAGCTAATATATTTTTAGTTGTGATAGCTCAATATTTTGCTACGACAGCAAACCGTTTGCTGTCGCACCTAATACAATATAGGCACAGTAGCAAAATATTGAGCTATCACAACTAAAATATTAGCTGTCCCTATTTTGCTAAGTTTTAGCTACAGCAGCTACATTGTTTTTTTCCGTGTAGGTGGGACAACGAATTTTTCCTCAACGTTTTTTTGTTGTTTTTCTCTCGGCGCGGTAACGTACGATGTTTTTGCGTGCCATCGTGTAACCGAAGGTCGTGCGTGGTATTACTTTTGCGTTATCGGTTTTCAAGACTCGATCGCGATGAATGCAGGGATAAAACACTATTGATTTGTGCACACCTTTATCAGTAACAAGTAACGTTCCTTGATTAATTATTAAGTTTCTACAACTTGTAATGGGAAACGAATTGTATGTTGAGGCGACGGCTCTTTATCAACGTATACCAATAGATATTTCGCGAGACTAACTCATCTAAAATATGAAGGTAAATCGTGGTACTTTGTCGCGGTTACATCTCGTTTACGCACCGTGCTTTTAATTATCTATCGATTTCGTGTAATCTGTTCCATTTTCGGGAAAAGAGAGAAATTTGTGCGACTTCGGCGTTCGCGCTGTAATTCGCTCCGTGATTCTTCGCAGCTTGAACGGGCCGGAAGTAAAGAAAGTCGCTTATTGCACGTCGTTACATTATTTCTTTGCCGCAGATTATGCTTCCGATGCTCGCGTTGCGTTTTATATCGCCAATTCAAAAGTGTTTTATCCATTATCCTATTCTTCCGAATCAAAAATGCAAATTGTTAGTTTGAGTAATTTGTATGACAGAAAGTCACGCGATATTTGTTAGTACTATAGTATTTTGTGCGTTTCGCGGTATTCACATCGCGTACGGGAGTGTCCGAAATTTCGCGCGATCGGTGATTCTCGCGAGTGAGTGTTGTGTGAGTGCCACAAGGAAATCTGAGAGGAAGAGGAGGCTAAGGAGGCATCGGGCAACGGCGGAAAAATCGTAAGGTGTCTTACATTTTTATGTTATTTGCTACTTGTGTAAAATAAAGCATCTGTGCTTTTATTTTATTTATTCTAACACTTATTCGAACGATGATTCGAATAAGTGTTAGAGACAAAACCATACGTAAAATTTTGTGAGTGTATATTTAAAAGGAAGACTCGTTGAGATTAAAACGACCCTGCGCTATGTTCGGTCAAATCTGGAATTTCGTTGAATAAAATTTCTATGCGGTGCTATGAAATTTCAGAAATTTGACCAATCACGGCACAGGGTCATTTTAATCTGGATCCTTTTGATCTTCTCGCGAAAGCAGCTCCAGGGGCCCGATTCTCGAAATCATTCGAAGAAGAAACGTATGCGAACATTCTACTCCGACAGAAAAGTTGAAAGTCGATTGGTTAAAGCCCTGCGAATAGCCAGTCAACTTGCAACTTTTCTGTAAGAGCGGAATTTTTGCATACGTTTCTGCTTCGAATAAATTCAAACATCGCGAGCCCCTGATTGAATTTCTGCTTCTCCGCCGGGATGCGAATTCGGCCGCATGTGATGCACTAGGGGTGCATTCAGAAACATCACCCGAATGTCCCGGTGTATCATTTTATTCTTGTTTAACATACGGTGAGCAACAACGATGGAATGACACGCTGGAGTACTCTGGTGGTGTTTCTGAACGCAGCCTAGGTGGAAAGATTCACGATCGAACCCGTCTAGTTAATTTCCCTTGTCCAGTTGGTAGGCTGGATTTTCATTCGTCCCGCCAATGGCGCCAATACGTCGGTCCCGCTCTCATCTGTTTCACCGATCACCGCGCACGAGACGCACGTCGGACGTGTATACAGAGAGGTATTTTCCGGCATTTTCCGAGCTCCACGACGAATTTCGCAGGTTTCCCATTACGTCAGAGATGCCACGGCTCGCCGTTCCGCAACGTGTTAGCCCGCGCGCTCGTCAGTAAAACCTCGCGGCGCAATTTTCAGTACGGAGCAGGATGGATACCCAGGAGAGTCAGCTCGAGTGCGACGTAAACGTTCACTTTGTCGTGCCGAGCCACCTTCGATCCGAGGATGACTGCAGCGAGAAAATGTGGCAGGCATTTAACGTAAGTACATTTCCGTAGTTCGTTATAACCGAGGTCTTCCTCGCCTCCGATTTTCCAAGAGTCCGCAAGAGTCGAATCGACGCTCGAAGGATGCAGCAGCGGCGCAAGTTCCGCGCACTCCGATATTTTTTGTTTCTCTCGATCTCGCTTTGTATCTTCTTTAAAGCCTGATCTACAACGTGCTCTTTGCGTCTAGAAACATTCTGTTTTATACAAGCAAGTCGAAACGCTTCGGAAATTTGTCGACAGCGTACGATTGTACGATGTATAATGTACAATTTATCAACTTGTGCGAATTTTTTAAACGTATTCGTTGGCTACAAAATAGAATGTTTCTAGACGCAAACAGCACATTGTATATTTTTATCGTTTTCGCTGAGACGTTTTGTTCTGTTCATCAGAAATGCAGCGAGCTCAACCTGTGTCCAGAATGGGTCAGCAAAGAATTGTGCGATGCGATGGAGCCATCAAAGAAGGATGTGTTTGTCATAGAAGAATTCAGAGGCGATTTGTTCGACAGGCTGAGAACCTTCAAGTGCTCGTGAGTTTGCGATGCAGCTGACTTCTTACCGTGGATAAGTTTTTAGTTTAGAACATAAATCACCAATTAACATCAATAATATCATAACGACAAACATTCTTACCGTGAGTTTAATTAAAAGATAGCTGAACAAATTTGTAATTGCTGATTGATATTCCAGCAGAATAGTATCACCAAAGTGCCTGCTTATTTGTTTCACAAATGGAGAGCCTATACCAGAAGGGACGAGTCCAATATACACGACATCCATGAGAGGAATGTGCGTTACTGCATCGGGTTTCAGTCTACAAATTAAGGTACAAAATCGTAGCGATTTTCCACACAATCTTTAATTGCAACGGTAGTAAATTTAATTGTTACTGCAGGATTGGATACAACGACAAGTCGAATATATGGGAGGCATTTTTACAAAGCAACTCAGAGGGTCTGTCACACATTTAGTAACTGATTCTGTCATGTCGGCAAAGTATGAGGTATGATGCATTTGTAATATATGCGTAACTTAGATAATTCGAGTAATTTCGATGGAAATTTGTATGCAGAAAATTTTATTATGTAAAATAAAAGAATTTGTATCTAAAAAATATAAGTTTTATCTGAAATATGTTTGTGCAAACTTCGAGTATTTCGTTTTTTATATATTGTAAAAGATTCTTATAAAATCATTCCAATTTGCACTTATTCTGTAACATTTGTTTAAATTGTTATTTTGTGATAATGCAACGGGATGGGAACTTAATTTACCAACAATTCTGTCTTCCAGCATGCTGTAGAAATGAAGATACCAATTATGACAAAGGAATGGATAGAAGCTGTCTGGGAAATAAATCTGAAGGAGATAATTAAGGCAGATGACAAGATTTTTGACAAATACAAATGTCCAGTTTTTATGAATTTAGTAGTTACTTCAACAAATCTCCACAAACGTGAGAAAGAGGAAATTAAACGTTCGATACATGGCCATGGAGGAGTGAGTTAAATCTTACACGATTTATATTGTGATAATAAAATATCTAACAATTGGCTGTAATATATGTGTATTTTGCAGACATTTATGGGCCCTCTTGATGGAACGAAGGTTAGAATGGTTCTAGCTTCCAAAACTGGTCCGATGAGCGACAAGCTAAAGTACGCCATGGAAAACAACATTCCCTGTTTGAGGACTGAGTGGGTGTACGAAAGTATCAAATTAGGATACGCTCTACCTTTCTGCAACTTTATTATTAAATCTGTGAAAATGTGCTCGACACCGGAAAGATCAAATAGTACGTAATGGCAGTAGAAGATGGTTGTATTATTTGCTTCGATATAATGGATAATCAAATTGAGTGAATAGCAAAATAACATTCTTTTAATGTACTTTTTAGACCAAGAATTGCCCAATTGGGGTTCTGATATTAGCTCTATAGCACATGATAAGCCTCGCAGCAATTACGTGAATGAGACTTTTAGTTCGACGGTATCAAATGTTTCCAGCGTAAGTGCGGTAACTGGTAAACTCTCTAGTGGTAAGTGTTAATAAATTATTATAAATATATCGTAATTACGATTTAAGTAGAAGCCATATTTGTATTTTCTTTCGTGTAGCCGCTAAGTTAAACGTATTGGACCGACTTACCTTCGATGAAGCAAAATCAGCTGGACCGTTTCTGGATGGATGTAATGTAAATTTTTCTTAAAGTTTTCGTAGCACACACACACACTCTCTCTCTCTCTCCTTTCAATTTCAATTTTACGATTATCATATTGCCTTTGTAGATTTACCTCACTGGATTTGCGCCGAACGTCAGAGATAAACTGAGTAGAATATTAAACGTCGGCGGTGCGACGCGTTTCGATGATATATCGGACGCTGTAACACACGTCATCGTTGGCGACGGGGCTAAAGCATCTGCGGAACTGAAAATGATAAAATCGAGTGGCTCATGGTACAGTAATACCGTATAAATAAAACTAACAGTTTATTTGCATTTTGATTTGCAATAAAACTTACGTTTATATATAAATATTCATAATTTAAAAAATAAGATTTTTCAAAAATACATTTTTTGAGAATGTATATAAGAATTTTGTGAAAAATTTATTATATATGATACGCAATTATATAATCTTACATAAATACCGTACATATATGTAATTTTATACTAGTCTTCTTTTTTGCTTTTATATCTTAATTTTTTAATTCTGTTTTTAATTTTATGGCACACATTTTGGTTTGGGCAGTCCATATATATTGAACGTAGAATGGTTGGAGCAGAGTATGAAACTGAAACGGCCGGCATCGGAAGAATGCTATTTGTTTGAAACAAAAGATGGAGCATCTAAGACAACTATTGAGACACCAGCTTCACCGCTGAGTAAGAAGGTACTCTTGATTGTAAATTTATGATATTTTTAATTTTTCAGAATGTACATGAAATGTTTCATTAAACTATTTTTTAACATTTTTTCTTTCTGCAAAATTTTTATAGCTGTTGGCAAATCAAAGTATTAGAAGGACTAATGTATATTTTCGTATGTTATTTTAGAACTTACAAATGTTGCAACAACCAACGAGACTTCCTGTGCCATCTTTCAAAATAATTGCACCCGTGAACGAAAATGAACAACCGGATCTTGTGCAGCAATATTTGCAAGAGAATAACGGTAATAGCGCGGATTGACTTCTAACAATACCTTTGCGTATTAAAATAATGCAGTTTCTCGTCGGCAAAATTTTAAAAAAAGGTGTCAAGTGGTACATAGATGTCTAATTGTACAATTGAATTACAGATCGTAATAATGTCACGCAAGAATTCACGAAACCTCGTGCACTTGTTTCGAAAGATAAAAACAAAGGGAGTTTGAGTAACACGACGAGTTTGCGCACCAGTGAGCTTTCTTCATCGGAGGTTACACTAATCAAAAATGTAGAAAATGATAATACCGTGTCGCTCAGCCAAAGTTGCGCGGTAAACGAAAAGTTGCTCAAAGGTAAGGTCTTTGCATGAATTAACTATTTTACTTAATTTAACTAATCCATAATAAATTATAAATTGCGACTTATTGAAACTTAATTCTAATATCGAGAATCTTTAAATTTTTAGGAGTTTATTTATCCGTGTAATATTATATTATTTCTTAGATTATTGGTGTAAGAGATCTTTGAAATTCTTATCTTTTGAGGAAATATTAATCTATGTATCTACAGATTTTTCTAAATACAATAATAAAATTATATATGCAGGGTTAACATTCGTCGTGGCTGGGTTTAACGAGAGTGAAGATAATCATATAGAGGAGACAATTGCAATGTTGGGTGGACGCCTAATCCAGAGAACCTACAGCGGTGTCTCGAATTATGGCGTCGTGCCTATACATGGAGCATCCTTAAAACAAATGGTCCACGAAATTGTGACCGATCTATTTATTGTAAGTATCCTTTACATATTAATTCCTCATTTTTTAAAAGTTTACAACCCATAACTTTTAAGAACGGAAATTAAATATTAGACAGTTGAAAAATTCATTCATTTTTCCAAATGTAAGTCCACAATCCAATTAATTAATAATAAACAAATTTGGTACATAATTTTTCTTAACATTGCTGATAATATCATTAACATTATCACTTCTTGATTTGTTAATAGGAAGATTGCATAAATCAGGAAAAAGTCGTAGATATCATGTATTACCACAAGCCACTATCTATTAGAAAACCTTGTACTCCATTATCAGGATGTGTTATAACGATGAGCATGTATACCGGAGCTGAACGAATATATCTTTCGACGTTGGCTGCAACACTTGGCGCTATGTAATATATAATTACCACTTACATCTAGATAAAATAAAAATCGTGCATTAAAGTCTATGTGTGTAAGATGATTTGCATTATCGTGTACTGAACGATACGTGATAAGAAATGTCAAACACGTAAACTTTAATGAGCATTCTCTTTCAATATTTTTAGATGTCAAGATATGTTTGCGCGAAAAGCTAACGCAGAGAAGAATACACATGCCAGTACACATCTGATTTGCCCGACCCCAGAAGGAAACAAATACAACGCGGCTGTGAGATGGAAATTGCCGGCTGTCACTGCTGAGTGGCTGAAGACTTGTGCGGATGAATTAACGCTCGTAGATGAGACTCCATTTCTCGTTGGGGAAACAATAGGTAAATTGATTTACATTTAGTTGCCAATTATCATGGAAATATTACAAATTTCAATATTTCGCTTATAAACAAAAACTTATTTATTTTTAAGTTTATATTTAAAACATGAAAACTAATAAAATTTCTAAATCTTTTTACGCATGTTCGTAATTTTAATATATTTGTGTGTTAAAAGCATTAGATAGATCAAGTATCAGTGAAACAAATCCTTCAAGCGTTCGCGAAAATAGAACAGTACAGAAAGCGCAGGAAATCTCAACAAGAAATATCATTACACCGAAACGTCACTTGTCTCAGGTCAAGGTATGTATTATTGATATATATATAGTATATATAGTATATAGTATAAAAATAATATTTTACAAGATGAGACTATTAATATTTTTAATTTACAACATATACATATTTGATCAATGACAACTGATTAAAATATGTGATGTTAATTGGATTTAACATAGAAAGTTGAGCAATTTAAAATGATTTTCGGATTATTTTATTAATGTTACAGGATGTGCCTTCTGCTGAAACTCCATTAATAAACAAAAGACTTAGTCTTGTAATGAATCAGACTCCGCCGTCGCCATTTCACGTGTCTACTCCAGACACTCCGTACGGACAGGTCTTCCAACCTAATCCTTCGCCGGACACGCGAAAAGAATGGCTCAAATGGGTCAACAATTTTCCAGATTTGCACATAGCAGAACCCCCAGTAAAACGACGCAATCCTAGCACTGTGAGTACTATTTTTTCATGAAAATGATTATGAAAACAGTCTGTTTATGTGTTAAAATTCATATGTTATAATCGAGGACTATTTCAGCCGCTTTCAGATTTAAAGAGACAATTATGGGAGAAACTGATGAACGCAGATCAATCTGAAAAGGTAAGATAAATATGTTGAGCAGCCGCGTAATCTCGTTGCTGCGGCGAATATTTTGTGTGAGAACACAGTAAAAATATTATGATACATCTGATATTGCGATATAATCTTGCATGATGTTCTTTTATGACGATCCACATTTTCTAAGATTAATTTTATAAGCTACGGCTTTTAGTGTTTTTCTAATCGTGATAGAGTTAAAGAATATTACAATACGCAATTATGTTTATTCAAAATTGCTTTATGTATTGAACTGCCAGGTACATAAATCAGATAAAACGCCGCGACACGAGGTTGATAATTTTACGGAAAAAACTGAGGAGGTCGACAATCGATCTAACAAGACCAATCTATCAACTTCACCCATTAACCGAAAGCTGGACTTTGATGAAAAAAATAACTCTATACCAAATAATGAGATAAACATGTACGTATCAAGTAAAATATAATGCGAGATAAAATAATAAAATATAATAATATTATATAAGATATTTATGAACATAATACTTGTGATAAATACGTCTGAAAAGATACATATTGTTTTCTACAATATTTTGCTCCACACACGACTTACATTGATGAGTAAATTTTAATTATATGATGAACAGGCAAATCGCGCAATTGGATCAAGTGCTTCAACGAACGTCGAGTACACCTGAAAATAGATATTCGTTGTCCGGGGAAAATGCGAAGAAGTACAACGAAACTTCTGATCATATACAAAAGTGTGAGTATCCACAAATTATCATACATATTGCTGAGTCAGTATTTCTAATTTTGAACAATATCACTGATTTATTAATCATTTTACAAACAGGTATAGTAAAAGACTCGCAACCTATCGACGCTATTGTATGGGAAGATCCGGATCACCCCAAGCGAGTATGATCGTTTTTCCTTTCCGGTTACTTTCACATATTTCTAAGATACAAACTTTATTCCTGTCACATTCTTGACATATACATGCACATTAACTTATTTAAAACAGAATGAATATACAACTCATAGTTTTAACATTTATTTTCTATGAAATAAAAAATACATAGAAAAGCACAAAATTTGGTGCTAATTATGTTAAGCTTATCAAATTTGTAAACAGAGTTTATCATATTATCTTAATTATTGTTATAAATTAGATTGAGGTCAATCTTAATATAAAGATCTTGTCACGATTGATTTAATTTTTTGTGGATTTTATGACCATTATTTTACATAAACATTCTATTGGTCGTTCTTTTGTATCAATGTTCTTACAGCTTATTTAATATTCTTGTGTATAAAATCATATTTTACATAGTATCTGTCTTTACAGTCAATTATAGGTAAACAGTCAAGTAAGGATAGCAATGTGATTCACGAAGAACATATTGAGGATGACGTCACAGAACATGAAGAATGTGAACCACTCTCAATACGAAAATTTATGTTGTCGGGTATAAAGGTATTACATCTTCAGATAAATACCGACATTGTTATTTTATTCCTTATTGCAATCATTATTTTGATATATTTTAATAGAACAACAAAAACGAATGCGAATCTATGATAAAGGATCTGGGCGGAGATGTATCGACGAACGCAAATTTCGACAACAGTGCCACGCATCTCCTGTGCATCAAGCTTTCCAAAAACGAAAAAGTGCTCGGCAGTATAGCCGCAGGAAAATGGGTCTTACATTGCTCATATCTACATAGTTCACATCAAAATGACAGATTTCTTGATGTTAGTATTTGTGAATTATAGGGATATACCAGGGAATTGACACATGTTTCTTCCAATTTAAAAATTTAAAGGAAAAAATAGAAAAAGCTATCATATTTTATTACATAAGACATGCGATTTACTTTATGTTAATGTTTTTACTACTAAACGAATATAATTTTTGTAGGAGGAAGAATATGAATGGGGCAATCCAAAAAGCAAAAACACGATTCCGAAATCAAGCGGTGAGATCGAGAATGCAATCGCAGCCGCGGCTCACAGGTGGCGGCTGAAATTGCAGAAAAATCCAATTGGCCCGTTTTCCAACATAGTGGCTCTGCTGATGGTCTCCGAGGAGAAGTACGACCAGGTTAAGAGATTACTTGAAGCCGGTGGCGGCTCAGTCGTGCAAGCAAGGTGCGGTATTGAATCAACTTCTATAAGAAAGAGATGGAAGTAAGTTCCATTAACCATTATTATTGGTTACTTTGATTTGATTTCAGACCACCCTACGATGTAAGTCCGTCTGGACGTAAAATCACGCACTGCTTTGTCAATGTGAAACAAGTGAGTAATGTTTTATTTTTCAAAATAAATATGAAGTACAATGCAGTTCAGTCAATGGCTCTTCTCATCAAAACTTTTTCCAGTTAACTATAGATTATTTTACGTTACATATACGGTGTAAAATTAAAATAATTGTTTCTATTATGCGGAAATTGAGACCAAGTATAAAATGCCAAGAGAGATGCCATGTTACGCTGTGCAAGACTTATGATTATATATTAATATGAATTATTATCAATTTATAATCTACTTTGAAAATAAGATATTTTATTATTATAAACAGATAAACCAGCCTGTAGACTGGGCCATGCTGGCTAGTAAGGGCATCCTTTGCTTTCCGCCGCAATATCTCAGCGATTATCTGACGACAGTGAAACCGCTCAATCCGCGAGATTGCGTACTCCCAGAATTTAAGAAATACCTGACGCTACTCCCCAAGTAGCCAGGTTGGAATTGTGCTTAAATTTACAAATGAAGTATCAACGATTTGGTAAAATATACGAAATACAATAGTGTATATAGCAAATTCATAACCACAGTGTCGAAGAACTGAAATTTATTTAAGATACTGTTATTTCCCTTTTATAGAAAATAATTAAGTGATTGATAAGTTTGTTTATTCGTCGTGTCACTTTCAATTATGCATAATTATTTTACAAAGATGTTACAAAATCTTTATTTTTTAGGATATACCGTATTTGCAGATATTTGATACACAAGAATACAATTGTACAATATTAATGAAATATTAATATAATTATATTACAAATTGTGTTGTAGAAAGGAATAAAAACTTATAATTACAGCAAACTTATAATTACAGCAATTGCATCTCTACGATAGAGAGCCAGTGATGTCCGACTACCATATCGTCAGCCAAAATATTCCCAATATGTATCCCAACATAGTAAAATTGCAATAGTAATATTACTATTGATGCATCTCGCTAACACGTTATATTTTCCTGAGGTTTAGCAGAAATTCTGCTGGCGGCGAGGTGAATACGTTTCGTGGATCGAGAGGGGACTTCCACTTAGGATTCAGCGTAACCTCGTAATCACGTATGATCGCTACCAGTCCCACAGCGGTTTGCAAAATTCCTAGTCGCATACCTACAGAAAACATTGAGGAAAAATTTACCGATTATAGGTAGATTCAATTCTTTTCTATTTATGTTTCTATGTATTATTCTTTTCAATTCTTTTATATTTATGCCAAGTTCAAGTACACAATTCTTTAATTGTAATTTTTTTTTATATTAGGCAATTTTTTTAAACACTTAAAATCTTGAATGAACCGTATGGTATTTGAGGAAAAATTAAATTATCGCTATCTCTCTTCTTTTTCTTTAATGACTTTTGTTTCACAGAGTTAACAGATACACGCGTAATCTTAACTTTTCCTCGATAAATATTATCACAAGTATTTATCGCGTAATAATAACGAAGAATGATAAATGTCGTTTCCTCTAGTAAATTCTTTTTTTTCATCCTATTGTAAGTTTGTCTACCTCAATGGGTCCGATTTACCGACCTATGCAATTTCGGGGACCTTCTCCGAAGGGCAGGAAGGTGCAGGGTGCAATCTCGTTCTTCCTCTCTTCGCTGAATCGTTCGGGATCGAAACGCGTAGGATCCCGATAATACCTTGGGTCAGTCTGAAGACCACGTAATACCACATATACCGGTGTGCCTTTCTCGATAGTTATCTTTGTGCCAGGCAACTGCAAGTTACTTTTGTTAGTCTACAGTTTAGAATTTGTATTTATAATAATTTATGCTATGACTAATTTTTCAATTGACTTTGAAAATACTTTTTTAAGGATGAAAATATAATTTTTGTAATATAATACAGCATCTTACTGTATAATCGCTGCTAGGAATTCTATCGAGGAGCGGTGCAGGCGGGTAAAGCCTTAATGTTTCATTTATCACTTGATGCAGATACTTCATATTATGGACCGCTTCGTATGTTACACCATTTGCATCTTGGATTGTCTGGAGGATTTCCTCCCTCACGCGTTTCTGCATTTCTGGTTGCTGGGCCAACTCGAAAAGAGCGCAGGTCATAGTAGTAATGCTGGTTTCGCGACCTGCCACGAAGAAGATCGCCGCTTGTGCGAGAAGAGCGTCTCCTTCAAACCCTGTAGAAAATAGTTATGAAGACAGATCATCTTTCATACATGGAATGCCATTTATGTAGACGGGAGTTTGAATTGAAAGGCTAATTATAAAGAATTTAAAATGAATACAGATAATTAAACCTTTCTTGCGTTAAAAGTGTGTCAAGTGGATTTTATTATAAATAATTGTTATATATAGTATAAGAGTATTAGTTGTAAATGAGCAAGATTTACTTGCAAAATAAATTCGAGATATTGTTAAATAATTCGTTTAGTTTTATCTTATATTAGACTTGTTAAAACGCTATCTTTTAGTATAAGATTCAAATCATATTTAATGCTAAATATTGGGTATCTGTACACATTAAGTACTCACGAAAATTAATATTATCAGGCTTCTCATCTTTTAATTGCAGAAGAGAATCGATTAGATCTCCCCGTTTCATCTTCGTAATGCTTCTATTGTCCATAGAGTCCCAGAAAACCTTGCGGAAGTAATCTGTGTAATCGCCAAGTATCGCGCCGCGTAAATGCTTTCCGATATTCGGCAAGAAGAACATAAAGAAGAACTGGACGGACCTTAGGAAGGTCTGTTGGAAAGCCTTACGTGCTGCATAAATGAAAATGTAAAAAGACTACATTGTAGAAAGTTTAATATAGATGGAAAAAAGCGATGTGACGTATAGCACTTTTAAACTCGCACTTATATTACTTATATTGATAATTACAGTTTACATAAAATTCTGGCGATGGTGTGTTGAAGCAGTTCGTCCGAATTCCAAATGCCACGGAGGATATCACGTCGGTGGTGTATTTGTAAAATATGTCTTTGATAGTTATCGGCACGAATTTGTCTCCAATTTGTTCACTCAAATGCTCCCTCATCTTTTCCCCTGACTCTTGCATCAACAGAAAGAGACTTTTCAGTTTGCCGCTTGTAAACACCGGTGACAATTTCGTCCTGAATAAGAAGTAGTTTCTTGATAATTGCAGCATTTTTTGATTGCGAGATAATTTTACTTTTATATGTTTTACAGATATCACAAAAATGAATTTTTTAAGCACTCTTTGACGGTCTATTTGCAAGATGACATGGCATTGCTTCCCTCAAATCGCTCAGTGATGATTATGATGTTCAGTGATCATTATTATGATTTATGCAATATATGTATCGTTTACCTTAGATGCTTCCATTCAGGATTCTCTATGGTGAAGAGGGTCCATTTGCCGACTGTGTCTTTAGTCGTTGTTCCCTTGAAATGATGATTCGGGAACACATTAAAGTCCCTGATCATTATCTGCTTTATTAGATCTGGATTCCTTAGAAACAGGAATGGCTTGTGTAGAATGTAGATCCCTAAGACGTCATCTTTGTCTGAGGCTTGCTGGTACAGTTCGCTGAGAACCACTCCTGCCGGCCTGCGGAATAGGATCGCATCCTTGAAGTGACCGAAGAACCAATGTCCGGGCAACGTAGTTACGCCACGTCTTTGCCAATAAGTATGTTTCCACTTCATCCACAGATAAAACATCGCGAATAGCGATGAGAATATTATAAGTGTGTCCAAAAGGGCACATTCGGTTAATATCGCCATTTTTTCTGCAAGCTACAAACAAAATCTCCTGCAATTCCATATAAAATTCGGATTAAATTACGAAATTACTTTACAAACTTTATACAAATCTTTTTTCTGCACAAAATCTTAATTACACAAGACTGTGCAAATTATATCTAACATTTTGTGAAAAAAAACTATGCACATACTTTGTAACAGTTGCGTATAGATCCAGCTGTTGCGTTGGACTGTGGGCAGTGCTGACAATGGGCGAAGATGAAATTTTGCTGCATCGAAGCAAATTGCCAAGTCACTTATCAGTGAAGAGGCTACTTGTTTTCATTTGATATACTAGGTGTCATACAAATTAACAGAATATCGCAGCAGAGAAAACATCGCCAGTAAAAATATTAGACAATAAAAATGTCCTATTTGTTTTATTTCGAGAAATACTTTTCTAAAATATAGGAGTTTGACTACGAATCTGAAGCTGTGATTAGAGTTATTAATCGTGAATTACATGCAGTACTTGATTTTTCTCTCTTGCGAAATGTGCAACTATTAATATCACTGTATCTGTGACTTGAATTTAAAAAATTAAAGTAAATTAAATAAAACGTTCAATGTATCTTCTCTTGCGAAATGTGCAACTATTAATATCACTGTATCTGCGACTTGAATTTAAAAAATCAAATTGAATAAATAAAATAAAACGTTCAATGTATCTTCATTAGTTTCTATTCATTATTTCCACATTTGAATTATGTAACATCTTACACGATTAAATAAACTTGATATGAAAGAATTTGATAAGCATATACGGTGGTATTAACGTAGCGAGCTAAACGTTATTTAATGCATCACACAGTAAACACAGTGTCAAACACGTTTGTAGCAGTAATTCTATGTTATGTAACTGACTACATCTTACATCTGTGTTGGATAAGTGCTACATTTGTGTTCAGTGAATGACAGGGTTGGGAAATAACTCGTTACTTGTAACGAAGTTACAGTTATACAGTTACTTCTTTTTGGTAACTCTAACTTAACTTCGTTACTTTCTCTACATATGTAACTGTAACTTAACTCAGTTACATTTTTTCGATAACTAGTAACTAATTTAATAGTTACATTAATAGTTACTTTATATATTTTTTCAACCTCCACAGATCGCATTAGGTCTTGCATTTGCGCATAAACGCCTTTATTGCCGCTTTACAATTCAGATGCAGATTCGATATTTTTATTTCTATTGCAAGGGAGTAACTGCAAAGTAACGATTCGTTACTTTTCGAGTAACTGTAACTGTAACGCGTTACTTTTCAGAATTGGTAACTTGTAACTGCAACTAGTTACATTGTTAGCGAAAAAACTGTAACTGTAACTAGTTACTTTTATAAAGTAACTTTCCCAACCCTGGTGAATGATTAGAACCGTAAGTAAAGTAGACGCATTGCTTTATTTTAGTAAACTTGTTTTTCGATACGCATTTGCATAAACATAGTTGGAGTACAAATATTCTTAATTTCAGAATATTCCAATCGAATATTCTATAAATATATGTATTACATTTGATATTTATTGATACTTATTACAATTTGATACTTATTACAATTAGAAATCATATGTGCATGACAAAGAAGAACGTTTTTAGAATATTCGTCGAGAATGTCTTTGGAATATTCGTTCAGAATAATTTTTCAGCATTTATCGAGTTTACGTATTGTACATTGTTTATTGTGTAATACACTTATCGTACGCAAAAGGCAGTGAAACCAGTGATTATACCATATATAACTGACACGCTATATTCGATAGATTATTCTATTCACATTCGAAAAAGATTTATAGCAGTGCCAGTCGAATGTTCCACGAACATAAGATAAATATAGGAAAGACCTATGGAATATTCAAAATATTCTTGAAGAATATTCTCAAAATGTTCATAGGTATCTGGAGTATTAATTTCTTTTCACGGTCCCATCTACATATCCACCCCAATATGTATCCCAACATAGTAAAATTGCAATAGTAATATTACTATTGATGCATCTCGCTAACACATTATATCTTCTTGAGATTCAGCAGAAATTCTGCTGGTGGCACGGTGAATACGTTTCGTGGATCGAGAGGGGACTTCCACTTAGGATTCAGCGTAACCTCGTAATCACGTATAATCGCTACCAGTCCCACAGCGGTTTGCAACATTCCTAGTCGCATAGCTAAATAAAACATTGAGGAAAAGTTTACCGATTATAGGTAGATTCAATTATTTTCTTTTATATTTATGCCATGTTGAAGTACACGCAATTCTTTAATTGTAATTTTTTTATTATCAGAGAATTTTTTTAAACACTTAAAATTTCGAATGAATTACCTTATGGTATTTCAGGAAAAATTAAATTATCGCTGCTTATCTTTCTTCTCTTTTTCTTAATGACTTTTGTTTCACAGAGGTAACAGATACACGCGTAATCTTAATTTTTTCTCGGTAAATATTATCACAAAAATTTATCGCGTAATAAATAACGAAGAATGATAAACGTCGTTTCCTCTAGTAAATTCTTTTTTTTTCATCCTATTGTAAGTTTGTCTACCCGAATGGATCCGATTTACCGACCTATGCAATTTCGGGGACCTTCTCCGAAGGGCAGGAAGGTGCAGGGCACAATCTCGTTCTTCCTCTCCTCGCTGAATCGCTCGGGATCGAAACGCGTAGGATCCCGATAGTACCTTGGGTCAGTCTGAAGACCACTTAATACGACATATATTGGTGTGTCTTTCTCGATAGTTATCTTTGTGCCAGGCAACTGCAATTTACTTTTGTTAGTCTACAGTTTAGAATTTGTATTTATAATAATTGATGCTATGACTCATTTTTCCATTGACTTTGAAAATACTTTTTTAAGGATGAAAATATAACTTTTGTAATGTAATACAGTATCTTACTGTATAATCGCTGCTAGCAATTCTATCGAGGAGCGGTGCAGGCGGGTGAAGCCTTAATGTTTCATTTATCACTTGATGCAGATACTTCATATTATGGACCGCTTCGTATGTTACACCATTTGCATCTTGGATTGTCATGAGGATTTCCTCCCTCACGCGTTTCTGCATTTCTGGTTGCTGAGCCAACTCGAAAAGAGCGCAGGTCATAGTAGTAATGCTGGTTTTGCGACCAGCCACAAAGAAGATCGCCGCTTGTGCGAAAAGAGCGTCTCCTTCAAACCCTGAAGAAAATAGTTATGAAAACAGATCATCTTTCATACATGGAATGCCATTTATGTAGACGGGAATTTGAATTGAAATGCCAATTATAAAGTATTTAAAATGAATACAGATAATTAAACGTTTTTGCGTTAAAAGTGTGTCAGGTGGATTATATTATAAATAATTGTTATATATAGTATAAGAGTATTAGTTGTAAATGAACAAGATTCACTTGCAAAATAAATTCGAGATATTCATTGTTAAATAATTCGTTCAGTTTTATCTTATATTAGATTTGTTAAAACGCTATTTTTTAGTTTTAGATTCAAATCATATTTAATACTAAATATTGGTTATCTGTACGCATTAAGTATAACTCACGAAAATTAATATTATCAGGCTTCTCATCTTTTAATTGCACAAGAGAATCGATTAGATCTCCCCGTTTTATCTTCGTAATGCTTCTATTGTCCATAGAGTCCCAGAAAACCTTACGGAAGTAATCTGTGTAATCGCCAAGTATCGCGCCGCCTAAAAGCTTTCCGATCTTCGGCAAGAAGAACCGAAAGAAGAACTGGACGGACCTTAGGAAAGTCTGTGGGAAAGCCTTTCGTGCTGCATAAATGAAGATGTAAAAAGACTTTACATAGTAGAAAGTTTAATAAAGATGGAACAAAGCGATGCGTACCGTATAGCATTTTTAAACTTCCAGTTATATTACTTATATTTATAATTACAGTTTATATAAAATTCTGGCGATGGTGTGTTGAAGCAGTTCATCCGAATTCCAAATGCCACGGAGGATATCACGTCGGTGGTGTATTTGTAAAATGTGTCCTTGATAGTTATCGGCACGGATTTGTCTCCAATTTGTTCACTCAAATGCTCTCTCATCTTTTCCCCTGACTCTTGCATCAACAGAAAGAGATTTTTCAGTTTGCCGCTTGTGAACACCGGTGACAATTTCGTCCTGAATAAGAAATATTCTCTTGATAATTGCAGCATTTTTTGATTGTGAGATAATTTTACTCTTATATATTTTATAGATACCACAAAAATGAACTTCTTAAGCACTCTGCGATGCTCTATTTGCAAGATGTCATGGCACTGCTTCTCTCAAATTGCTCAGTGATGATTATGATGTTCATTGATCATTATTATGATTTATGTAATATATGTAACGCTTACCTTAGATGTTTCCATTGAGGATTCTGTATGGTGAAGAGGGTCCATTTGCCGACTGTGTCGTTAATGCTTAATGCCGTGAAATTACGATTCGGGAACACATTAAAGTCCCTGATCATTATATGCTTTATCAAATCTGGATTCCTTAGAAACAGGAACGGTTTGTGTAGGATGTAGATCCCTAAGACGTCATCTTTGTCTGACACTTGCTGGTACAGTTCGCTGAGAACTACTCCTGCCGGCCTGCGCAACAGGATCGCATCCTTTAAGTGACCGAAGAACCAATGTCCAGGCAAGGTAGGTACGCCATGTCTTTGCCAATAAGTGTGTTTCCACTTCATCCACAGATAAAATATCGCGAATAGCGATGAGAATATCATAAGCGTGTCCAAAAGGGCACATTCAGTTAATATCGCCATTTTTCTGCAAGTTACAAACAAACCCAGGCAGCACACATTAGTTTCGAAACTTTTTCATAAATGTTTTTACGTATCGTTTCAAAACCATTATATAGAAACGTTTATCAAAAGTAAAAATGTCCAAAAAAGTTTTAGGTAGCATATGGTGGTTCATATACGTTTCATATACATTCTGAACGTTTATTAGACATTAGATGCGTATAGGAAACGTATATAAAACGTATACAACCAAACGTATCTTATAGTATTTTAGAAACGTTTTGAGAACGTGTATAAAATGTATATGAACTATCATATGCTACTTGTAGTGCGATTCTGTATCTCGTTATGCAGTGTCGTTGTCGTTATGGAATAAATTCAAATATTGCACGATAATATTTATATAATATTAGATTTTATTGGATGTGCAGTGGCTAATGTTTAGCAACGTAATTTGAATATTGGTTTAATATTGGTCGAACATTGATACACAATATTGGAACATTATTGCAGAATAGATATATTGGCTAAATAAGAGTAGGCGTCCATCTTACAATATTGGACCAATGTTGGGAATATTAGATTTACATTATTTCCCAATATTGCGCCAATATATTGTGCTACTAGGAAAATATATAAATCAAGAAAGAAATATATAAGTAAAATATGTACACCTCTTTTCGTTTTATTTATAAAAGGTACATCTGACATAAATCAATTTTAATAAAAAATATTTTTAAAATAGATTTTATCTAAAACATATAGCATACATACGTTTAGGAAACGTACATAAAACGAATGTAAACCATGTATTACCTAGATAAGTTTACATACAAATTCATTCGAAGATTCGATATACCTTGGCGGATATAAAATTCTTAATTTGAAGTGTCAAATATCTGCATCACAAATTTATTTTGACAGACTCAAATGTCTGCATTTCAAACATACAATTCACATATATATAATATAAAATATAATGATTTCTCACTCTTGGTTCTATAGTCAAGTCAGTTACCATGTCTGATGTAAAAAAAATTAATACTCGCTAATTTTTAAGTAGAAATCAGTATTCAATCTGTACTAATTATACTAATTTTGAACCGACAAAATTAATTTTTCGTTTTTGTAGAAACGTGAAAAATATGTTTTTAAAATTAAGGTTTAAAAACGGTTTCTATTTAAACAGTATCTTCATGGTACTTTACGTTTCTTAGACATTAGACACGTCTAAGAAACGTATTTTAAACTAACATGTGCTGACTGGAAAATCTCCTGTAATTCCATATAAAATTCGGATTAAATTACGAAATTATAATACTTTGCAAACTTTATACAAATCTTTTTTCCGCACAACATCTGAATTACATATGATTGTGCAAATTATATGTAACATTTTGTGAAAATAAACTATGCTCATACTTTGTAACCGTTAGGTGTAGATCCAATTGCTGCGTAGGACTGCGGTCAGTGTTGACAAGGAGCGAAGATGGAATTTTACTGTCTAGCAGCGAAGCAAACTATATGCCAAGTCACTTATCAGTGAAGAGGCTACTTCTTTTCGTTTGGTATCCCAAATGGCACAAATGACTGTTTGCTAATAGTCGACACTTTTAGTCACCTTGAAGTCAACTTTTTAAGTCGACATTTAGTCAACCATTTAAAAGATGATTTGTTGTCGCGTATAACTATAGATATATACTAATTATTTAAAATTATATAATGTTGTATTAGTATAATAAGTATAAGTGTATAAAGTATTCCTAATTTATTTTAATATTTTGCAACATTTCTACGATGTTCTACAAATATTTCAAAATTATTTCAATTATTTTTATACTTTTCAGCAATATTTCTGGCATACCATATTTCAGAAAGGCTTTAGACATTTCGGTAAGCTTTGAGTACATTTTCAGAAAGGTTTCAAATGCAAGAGTAGCGGGACATTTTGCTATTCCAGAGCTGTCTCAGAACTGTTGCAGAAACATTTTGCAATGTTTATGAGATATTTCAATTTTCGGATAAAATCCTTCTTAAATATCTCTGAAGGCTTTCTGTGCTGTATGGGTTTCTGCATAGAGCTTTCAATTGGATGCGTGTTTTAAGATTCTCGTGTACACGTAATCCGTGTACACGGATTTAAGGCACCTTTATTCACGTGTACCTGTGTACGTGACACGTGTACACGTATAGTCGTGTATGTGACAAGTGTATTCGAATATTCGTGTATGTGTGATATCTGTAAACGTGTGCAAATATTTATCAAAATTTGTTGAAAGATCTCTATTTCTACATATATTGTTCGACATATGTATACTCATAATTCCAGCACTCCAAGTTTTATCCAGACTTTGTCACATAATTCTCTAAATATTTCCCTATTGAGGTATACACGGCTACACGTTCACATATGTCACATACACGGATATTCGTGTACACGTGTCACATTCACGTCTTCACGGATTCACGTATATTATGAAGATTCTTTAAATTCGTGTACATGGGTTAAAACACGGATAAGTTAAATACACGGATTACACGTGTAGTCTAATACACGTGTTCTAGGGAGCTCTAATTTCTACAAGATTACTGAAACATTGTCGGCGAAATATTACACTTGAATGTCTCTGAATCGTCTGTGCAATATTACATTGCATTTTGCAATGTTGCAATATTTCTAAAAGCTTTAGTGCTGTGCGTGCGTGCGTGCGTGCGTGCGTGCGCGCGCGCGCGCGTGTGTGTGTGTGTGTATGTGTGTGTGTGCAAAAGTTACGAGAAATTTAAGGAACTTAAGATTGATATGTATTATAATTCCATCGTAAAATATTATAAAGAATGAAAATTTTATATTAAATCATTTAATTATACATATATTTATTTATATTAAATTTTAATTATTACAATAGTTTTACATCATTCATGAGGTACTAACGTTGATGCGTTTTTTAATAGTTTCCTTTGTAGGTCTATGCCACTAAAAAATAATAATACAAAAATCGAACTTATAGTTTGTCAAAGAGGAAAACAAAATTTTATAAATATATATTATATACAGGGTGTCCCGATATTATCGATCACTCCTCGTAACTTTGCAGGGTGCTGTCGTAGAGAAAAATGTTTCAGGCATAAGTTGTATGGCTTCAAGGGGGACATGAGATGGTGTCATTAATTTGCCCTTGAATACAACTCTTGTCTGAAACTTTTTTTTCTACGACCGCTTCCTGCTAACAATAAGTTACGAGGGGTGATCGATTATAATGGGACACCCTGTATAGATATAATATATAAAATCATGAGTTAATGAGCTTTCTCGAGACCAAACCCAGTGAGAAATGTTTGTCAACAAATTGACGTCGATTCGACATCGATCGACGAGTCGTTTCTCGCTGGGTAAAAGTGTGCAAAATCGCCGGAAAAATGACTATTCTCAACGAACTAATAATGATAAGTAAACATTAATAATACTTAACTATTCACAAAGATATTATTAGTTGAGCGAACGATCAAGAATATTGTTTAACGGTGTTTCGTTGACATTTTGTAAATAATTTAAGTTTATTATATAAATAAGTTCATTATCGGCTATATTCAAAGTAGATTTCGTACTTATTTTATATATACCAGTAGATCTATATAAATATTAGAAATATCAAGTTGTCATTTGGAATTTTTAAAATATATCGACTGATCTTTTTCGCAGGGTCGTATCTTGATTTTACGCAATTTCTGGGTTTTGTGCTTAAACGCTTATTCTGGACCAGAATGAGAATTTAAACACAAAAATGCCGAAAATTGTTTAAAATAAAGATATGACCTTGCGAAAGAGATCAGTCGTTATGCTTGACATCAAAGTTTCATTATGCAGACTTAAACGAAATCCTTCCGTCTTTGTGTAAAACTAAATTACGAAAGTCAACCGTTATTTGAACTCTTTGGACTTGGATTCTATCAGTCGCGACTATCAATAATATTGTCCTAATGAAGAAATATATATAGAATACAATTGGAGTAATTGCTATTATATACATATATATGCAAGTTATCATATTTTTTTAAAGTGCAAATTAATTCCGTTGCCCGCAGCTGTGACGGTCGAACGCGGATCCAGATAACTTGTATGCTCTTTGGTCTGCCAAATCTTGTAATCTCTCAGCAATATTGTTATAACAACTTTAGCGTGTAATTGACCCACTTTCATTCCTGTAAACAATTTATGAGAATACAGTGATCAATCATTAAGAAATAATAAGTTCTTCAAGTTCTTCAAAATTTCAAGTAGAAAAACATTTTTCTTTTTTAAAAGAATAATTAAAATGACTGCATAATAACAATAGACGATTACGCAGTCAATTAGAATATATAAAAGCTTTTTTCTTGCTTTTTCCTAATCTTCTCACTGATTATTTATGACGGAAATAGCTAAATCATATAATCTTTCATCAGAAAGTAATATTTTATTCCGATATCAATGCTGGTAAGATTTAAATGGCGTGTTTTTCTTGATTATTTCGCTATCACTTCCTTTTTTATATTCTTTTCTTAACGTTTCTATGCTTAAGAGCAAACATGTATTTATAAAATGGATTATTTTTCTGTCTATCACTTTTGTTCTTACTAGCGCTTACCTACACACATCCTAGGACCAATCCCGAATGTCATATAGGCATCGGGAATTTGGCTGCCTTTGGCGAATCTGTTCGGGTTGAATACTTGCGGTTCATCCCAGAATTTGGGATCCGTACCAAGTCCGTACAAGGAGATATATATTGGCGTACCTTTCTCGATGATAACATCGGTATTAGGTATCTGGAATTTTATACTTCTTTCAATATAAAATTAAAACACATTTTGCAGCCAGCGTAAATTTTGTTAAGAATAAAGCTACTTTAATAATAAATAATTTATTATTAAATATATTAATGTTTATAAGAGAATACGGCTCTGAAGAATAAAAATCAATGAGTAAAAGGGGCGAAGAGCCTTAACTAGGTGTTAGTGTCAAAAAGGTAAAAATTGGTTTATTAAAACATACAAATTACAAACGTTTCGCTCTTTCTTTAGGCCATCCTTGGTGTATAAATATAAAATTTAAGACAAAGAGTAAAAGTAAATAATTTAAATGTAAAAGTCAATGATTAAAATTCGCTCGCACGCAATATATAAAAAAGATGTAAAGTATAAAATAAATCCGAATACGACTTACATTTTACACTTTACATCTTTCTTATATATTGCGTGTGAGCGAATTTTAATCATTGACTTTTACATTTAAATTATTTACTTTTACTCTTTGTCCTTTATATTTATACACTGAGAATGGTCTAAAGAAAGACCGAAACGTTTGTAATTTGTATGTTTTAATAAAGCAATTTTTACCTTTTTGACACTAACACCTAGTCAAGGCTCTTAGGCCGGTATTCAGAGTCCGTTCTTAAATCAACCAATCACAGAGCCGTATTAGCATATTAAGACAACACTTAAGATGATTTTGAAATAAGAATTGACTATGAATACCGGCCTTAGCCCCTTTTACTCATTGATTTTTATTAATATTCAATTTTTCCTAAGGTGCGCAAATTTAAAAAGTTATATATTATTCGAAAGTTGTTCTTCTTCAAAAACATTAGAGAAATAAGAAATTTTTTAATGAAACAAATGAATACCACGAATATTTTTCTTCCATCTGAAATCAATTTTATTAAAAAGTTCTTTTTATTTTGTCTTGTACTCTTGTTTAAATTCAGGAATTTTGAAGTATTTCAGATCGAGTTAAATATTCTAAAATGAGATCAAAGATCTTTCTAAATGTATGATGGACTGCACATTGACCTGGTAATCCTCACGAGTGTATCTGTCGACGGTAGACACGGGTGGATGCAGTCTCAGACTTTCCAGTATAATTTGTTCGAGATATTTCATTTCCTGAAACGCCTCGTATGTCCAGCCGTACTTCTCGATCGCGTTATTAATGTCATTCCTGGCTAGCTCCTGATACTCTGGATGCTTCGCCAGTTCCATCAGGGTAAAAGCAGTGCATGTAGAGCTCGATTCAAAGCCGGAAAAAAATGTGCCGGACTGATATAGCAGATTCTCACCCTCGAATTCTATGGTAGACATTCAGATTTATCGTCCAGTCTTTATCTCCTTTATCTCTTTGATTTTAATAGCAAAACACTTAAACGTAATAAGAGAAAAATCACAAGTGTTTTTGAAAGAGAATTTGGTGTTATATAAGAAAATATTGAAAATTCATAAAATGATAATAATGAATTTACTGTTCTAACAAATAATAGAACTGTGTTTTAATACCGATAAAAAAATCGGCGCGCAGTTTACTGAATTTGGAACAAATCTATAAAAATTTACACAATTATTAGACTAAGAACCAACTCTGCTTGTTTAGTGTACAATTTTTAATTTTATTTTTCGCCGAAACCGATACCGATCGGCTCAACCGGCACTGACTTTAAACTTGGTTCGCGTTTACTTCAGTGGAACTGATTGTGAGACTCCACCAAAGGAGTATGACTCGCGATGGACTGCGGTTAAGTATCGACTTGCGAGATGACTGGATGGAATTTCGCTTTAATCTCGCGGCGAGATACTCGCTACCGCACCGTTTGCTCGTCAGGCTGGAACTTAACTTGCCCTGGACTTCTCTGGAGTCCTGCTCACGAAATGTGGGTAACGCCAATCAGGACGCGATACGAAAATATCGCCTGATTTTCGCTCGCCAGTATTCGCGTGATCGTGTTAGTTTTTCTATTCGATGTGGCCAAACGATTCACGTGGCTCTCTCATAATCGCTAAGCGGTCTACGGTATCAGGTATCATGCGGAATGCTTGCCGTGTTTAGGTTTCATGGAGCTCGAAGCTTCGAGAAGGAGAAAATATTATTGGATTCAAATTATTATTCGTTCGAGATGCTGAATTCTCTAGACCGTGATAGCTTAACTGATAAATTTTTCAAACAACTGCTTGCAATCCGTAACACTGCTCGATAACTAAAATTTTTTAATTGATTTCACTGTCATCAGTCCTGATTCACTTTAATTAATTATTATAACAATAAAAAACATGATAATAAATATTACTTTATATTGGAATTATGTTCAATTTTCAACTTTATATCAATTTAGCTGATTTATCCGGAACAAAATTAAGAATTTTCTCGGCCAATTAAAGCGACAGTAATATTTATAGCGTCAAGATGTTATGTTACTTACTATAAACGGGATCCTGCTCGCCCTTTTTTATTTGGATCAGCGAATCAATGAAATCGCCCCGTTTCTTGCCGGACTTTTCACGGCTCTCCATCGCATTCCAGAAAACTTTCCTCACGAAAGTAGAGGTGCAAAGTATCTTTGTACCAATCACTTCCACCAGTTCGGGCATGAAGAACACTGCTAGGAGGGCAACCATCCTCTTGAATCCATAAAAGGACTCCCCAACTACAAAATTATTTCAGAGTTACGTATGAATCATCAACATTAAAAATCTTCAAACTGTTTAAACGTAGATCGATAATTGTAGATGTCAAAGCAAAACGGGCCATGCAAATTATAATTTAAAAGGTTGCAATTTATATTATATTATTTTTTTTCAACAATTTCATTAGCTTATATATGTCTTTAATACTTGATTTGGTCCACTGTTCTGCCATTAATTTTTTCAACACGTAACGTTAAGCCGAAAACAAGTACCTGCGAGTGAGAACTCCTCGTTCGGATTGTAGAAGGAATCTATCTTAGTGCCGAGCGCGACGGAAGCGATTAGATCAGTCGTGTACTTGTAATTAAGATCTTGGGCATCCAATATTCTCACATTGTCTTGATTCGCCGGGTGGTCTTTTATATAACTCATCATAGGTTCTGCGATCTCCATCATCAGCGGCAACATCTGCTTCAACTTGCCCCTCGTCAGGGTAGGCGTGATCTTGGATCGCAGATATTTCCAAGCCGGGTTCTTCAGACCGAACAGGTTCTTCATACCGATACTATCCCTTTGGGTGGAACCGGCAAAGTGGCGGTCGCAGAAATTGTCAAAGTCGCGGATCATGAAATGCTTAATGACATCTGGATCGCGTAGCAGCAGACACGGCTTATGGAAGATGTAGAAGCCGACGAAAGGAGCGTCCGGACGGGCCATCTTGTGTAGGTCACCGAGGTGCCACCCTGGTGCGGAACGGAAGAGCACAGCATCCTTGAAGTTGCCGAAGATCAGGTTCGGAGGTAGGAACTCGACGCCGCGTCTCTTCCAGTAACTCAGTTTGTAACTGAACGATAGATCGACCAATGTTCCCAGTGAGAAATGATTCGTCGATCGACGTCGAAACGACGTCGAATCGACGTCAATTCGACGGTGTCGATGTCGATTCGACGAATCATTTCTCACTGGGTTATGCACAAGGCAGGTTTTATCTTAATTTTTAACAAAATTTTACTCAACTTCGGTTTGAAGATTATTAGTAACGTTAAAAATAGTTGAGTTCATGAAATAAAATTTGAATAATAA